ACAGAAGACTTCTGTGCGTTGGAAAAACTGATGTCCTGGAACGAATTTGGCAATTAGAGACTTCTTTTTTCCGAATTGTTCAGGAGTTTTCATGACGACAGTAACAACATCTCCATCTGCGAGGTCTTGTTGTTGTTCGGAAAGGTAAAGAGCAATGATATGAATGGTTGCTGCGTTGAATTCGAGAAAGTCGAATTCAAATTGTGTTGTCGTATAACATTCAAACCATTTTGTACGGTTGTCTCCGAACTCGTCAACGTATTCATCTTCGTCATATCCGTAACTAAAGACTTGGAATTCGGCAATTCTCGTGTCGAATGACCGTTGGATGTAACGAGGAAGATTTTGACGAACTTGGTATAAAGTTCTCAACATTATAAGCTTAGTAAATGTTGGAAAATACTGAACTAAGACATCGCTAAGCTCAATTGGACTTGGAATTGTCTTAGTAAGTTCAATTGAACTAGTAATTGCTTTGTTCAGAACTTCACAGAACTGAGTATTGTATGTAGCGTCTGGTTGTGTGTTTTCTTCGGCGTCTTTGAGATATTTAGAGCAAATTTGTTGAAGAATTTCTCTTAATTCGCTGTTAGACTTTTTGGTGGTTATTCTAACCGCTGTGCCAGTTCTTGGAGGTTGTGGGGCTTTGGCTTTGGTTAGCGGTTGAGAATTGTTAATGTTTGAATTGTGATTAACAGCGTTGGCTTCCATTAGATAAAAATGAACTGACCAAAAAAGACAGATATTTAAATATTTGAGATGAACCGTTTTCGTCAACGGAGACCCCCTCTATTTTTTTATTTTATTTAATAGTTACCGTTGGAAAAACAGTTTATCTCAAATATTGAATGAACTATAAAAGTTTTTTGTTTTTTATATATACTTTTTTGTCCAACGGTAAAACTTTTTACACAACAGTTGTTGAGAGTCGTCGCCGTTGACTTTTTTGTAGAGCACTCAAAATAGTATAACTTTGTCCGGACAAGTAAGGGTCTATCGTCGCTACAGGAAAAGTTACAGGCGTTCCAAGGAAGTATACTTTGAGAAGCCTTTTCCCCCTTATAGAATGAGATAAGACGGTTATTTTACAAAACTGACAACACTTTGACCGAGTAGTTTTTTGTGCTGAACAAAAAGTGTCATATAAACATCTGTCAAAAACCGCTTTTTAACTTCACTTAAAATGCCACGTAAGCTACGTAAGAATATACGTAAGAGGAAGGGAGCATTGAAACATCCAATAGTAAAACTGACACCACAACAACAGTTGCAACAACAAATTATGAATGACCCCACTATGTTGCAACAAATGTCAAGCAACCCTATGCTTTTAAACCGAGTTATTGGTGCACAGAGTGGAGGTTTAAGAGCGGCACTTTTAGCGAAAATGGCAGGCTATGGTGGAGCTGCAGACGGAACAGCTTATAACCCTCAAAGTCAAATGAATTTGAGTTCACTCAAAAATCAAATAACAGATGTCAAAAAGTCAAACATAGACATACAGAAACAAATAAGTGAAAACGAAAAGAAACTAGAATATGACAGACACACAAAGAAACTCAATGAGTTAAACGTAGAGAAAAAGAAGAAAGAAGAACAACTGAAAGAACTAAGTACAGAGGAATATGCGAAAAAAGTGTCAGAAAAAGCAGCAGAAGTAGCAAAAATGGAACAAGATGTTATAAATTTGAAATGTTATATACGAAAACGATAAAAACGGTTTGACAGAAAAGTGACAACTTTACGTGTCAAAAATATAAAAAGTGATATTTTATTCATCATTATCTTCTTCATAATTTATTTCATATTCTTCGTCTTACCAACAAAAGATGGGAATGTGAACAATTGCGGGCAATTTTTAGCCATTTTGGCTTGGAACTAGAGCCTGCGAGGTACATGGATAGTATCAGTACCTCACAGGCTCTAGTTCTCTATATGGCGCCGAGAAATTTTGGTGAAATGTGGTCGCATTTCACCAAAATTTTTTCGGCGCCATAGGATGAATTGGAGGGTGAGAGATATTATTTCATACAATACTACTCTCACCCTCCAATTCCCAGCCAAAATGGCTAAAAATTGCCCGCAATGTGAACAATTGCGGGCAATTTTTAGCCATTTTGGCTTGGAACTAGAGCCTGCGAGGTACATGGATAGTATCAGTACCTCACAGGCTCTAGTTCTCTATATGGCGCCGAGAAATTTTGGTGAAATGTGGTCGCATTTCACCAAAATTTTTTCGGCGCCATAGGATGAATTGGAGGGTGAGAGATATTATTTCATACAATACTACTCTCACCCTCCAATTCCCAGCCAAAATGGCTAAAAATTGCCCGCAATGTGAACAATTGCGGGCAATTTTTAGCCATTTTGGCTTGGAACTAGAGCCTGCGAGGTACATGGATAGTATCAGTACCTCACAGGCTCTAGTTCTCTATATGGCGCCGAGAAATTTTGGTGAAATGTGGTCGCATTTCACCAAAATTTTTTCGGCGCCATAGGATGAATTGGAGGGTGAGAGATATTATTTCATACAATACTACTCTCACCCTCCAATTCCCAGCCAAAATGGCTAAAAATTGCCCGCAATGTGAACAATTGCGGGCAATTTTTAGCCATTTTGGCTTGGAACTAGAGCCTGCGAGGTACATGGATAGTATCAGTACCTCACAGGCTCTAGTTCTCTATATGGCGCCGAGAAATTTTGGTGAAATGTGGTCGCATTTCACCAAAATTTTTTCGGCGCCATAGGATGAATTGGAGGGTGAGAGATATTATTTCATACAATACTACTCTCACCCTCAATTTTAATTACTTAAACTCATTCTATTTTTTTGACATGTAAATGTCACTTTTACTGAGATCTGACACAATGTCAGATCTCTTTTTTTCGTATATAAGAGAAAAACCATACTACTCAATATAAAGTACTGAAAGATGAAGAGATAAAACAAAAAGCCATGAAGACATATATGGATAGCGATGAGTATAAAAAAGAAGTTGAAGCAAATGTAAAGGCAGAAAAACTTTTACAGTTGCAAAACCAAACCGTACAGTATGAAAACTTAGCACAAGAAAGTAAAAATAACGACGCAGCCATGCAAAAGGCAATGAAAAGCGCAGAATATATAAAAGCTAATAATGACTGGTTAGATGCCCAAGCCAACGCTAAAGCAGCCCAACTTATAGGGTCAATAAGGACAAAAATACAAGCGGATGAAGACAGTTCAAATGAAGCTTTAATGAATGCTGACTTTAAGAATGCCTTCGAAGCTCTTCATAGTAAGGTGAAACTAGTGAACGATTTCTCATCTGGAAAGAAACTGAAGTCTGAAGGTTTCGACAAAGAGTTAAGAGAAGTAGCACAAAATATGACGAAAATAACAGATGCAGCAACGAGACAGGCAGTTCAAAGTGCCTATGACGCCGTTAGAGCAGCTGTTGTGGAAAGTCAAGAAAAAGAGTTACAACAGACCAAAACAGACCTAGTAAATGCTTTCTTAAAAACGAAAAGTCAGGTAGGACTATCATAAGACAAATTACGGAAAGTGAACTCAAACAAAAAGTGACACAATGCATTTGCCAACCAAATAACTTTACAAAGCAAAAACTTAAATTACTTGTCAAGCTTACTATTCTTATTTTAACAATTAAAAAATTAAATTTTATTTTTTATTTAAAAAAATCATCTTATATCATCTGATATATATATATAACAGCATTAATATTTCAATGATTCACAAATCAACTTTTTCATTATTTTAAATAATTATAGAATATACATTATGAATATATACCTCTTACCCTTCCATTCCCTCTCTGACAGCGGGAAACTTTGTCTGAATGTTAAACTATTCAGACAAAGTTTCCCGCTGTTTGCGAAGGAATTGTTGGCTATGATGTACTGATTCATGATCAGTACATCATAGCCAACAATTCCTTATACAAAGTTCAAAAACTTGGGTGCAATCAGAACTGATTGCACCCAAGTTTTTGAACTTTCTCGAGGGAATGAAAGGGTAAGAGGTATACATTATGAATATATACCTCTTACCCTTCCATTCCCTCTCTGACAGCGGGAAACTTTGTCTGAATGTTAAACTATTCAGACAAAGTTTCCCGCTGTTTGCGAAGGAATTGTTGGCTATGATGTACTGATTCATGATCAGTACATCATAGCCAACAATTCCTTATACAAAGTTCAAAAACTTGGGTGCAATCAGAACTGATTGCACCCAAGTTTTTGAACTTTCTCGAGGGAATGAAAGGGTAAGAGGTATACATTATGAATATATACCTCTTACCCTTCCATTCCCTCTCTGACAGCGGGAAACTTTGTCTGAATGTTAAACTATTCAGACAAAGTTTCCCGCTGTTTGCGAAGGAATTGTTGGCTATGATGTACTGATTCATGATCAGTGCATCATAGCCAACAATTCCTTATACAAAGTTCAAAAACTTGGGTGCAATCAGTTCTGATTGCACCCAAGTTTTTGAACTTTCTCGAGGGAATGAAAGGTAAGAGATATCCATTTCCTTTCACCTTCGTTCTCAATAATTAACTTATAAATTTTTTAAAGCAAAAAAAGTCTGATTTTTTTTGACAAGTAAATATATAGGGAATTTATCCGACCAAATAAGTGTCACTTTTTCGGTTCACCTCACTTTCCGTAACTCGTCTTACAACAGGACATTATGCTGCAGATGGAACATATGTGCCAGCTGGTGGAACTTATATACCACCAAACCCTCCAAGAGAAGCACCTGCACCAGGACTACCTAAAACATTTACATCGTCACATGGACACAGACACAGGCATGCACCAAAACCAACACAACAACCAACAGTTCAAAATCCAGCACAACAACAACAACCAACACAACAACCAACAGTTCAAAATCCAGCACAACAACCAACAGTTCAAAACCCTGCACAACAACAACCACAAACAGAGCAAGGACATAAAAGAAGTAGAGAAAAAGGAAACCAAGAATTCTTAAAAATGCTTAAGGAAGATTATGGTTACCCAGATACTCTTGACTTTAGTGACAGATATAAAGAAGCTATTAGAAAGTTCAAGGAAGGAAATACTGACCCGAACCTATTTAGCTTTATGGTTCAGCATCAAATCGGATATAATCTCAAACCTGGAAAATACAAGCTCGCAAAGGGATATGATTTAATAGCATATCATCCAAATGACATGAATGAATTTACTCCGAGATATTTGATGTCAGAGCTAAATGATAATTCAACTCTCTTCATGAAACGCGTAAAAAATAGAGACGGAACGAAAGAAGAAAGGTTTATGAGTCCGGATGACTTAGATAGGGAACTTGTTAAAAACGGTCTCGGAATATATGAAATGCCAGCAGATGAGGTACAAGAAACTCAACAGGAAGAAGTTCAGATACAACCAGACATGGAAGAAATAGTTCAGCAACAACAGCTAGAAGAGCCTGAAGGAAACGAACAAGTCCCTCCTTTGGAAACTAACTTCACAGAACTAGATGAAGATTTGGAACAGCCGAAAAATCTTGACCCTCAACAAGAGTATGAGGTGAATATGGAATCTTTCAAGAGTCTAAGAAAAATTCGGCTGACATAGTAGAAGAATATCGAAAAATGTTCACCGACATACAAAAAGACTCCAACATCAGATGAAAATATTCAGCATAGAATGGAAGTACTGAAAGAAAATGTACGCAAATACAATAATCCTTTTTACTTACGACCATATAACGTTCAATCTTTGGCTGAACTGGTGAAAATAAAGGTTAAATTTCAACAAAACATATAGAAATGAAACATTGTTTAAAGTTCATTCAGAACCTAACCAATATGGAAACAAACCTACTTTTGTTTCTGCAGACTATGGAACTACAATGAGATGGGGTCATAAAGCTAATCCGGATAGGTGGTTCATAAACTTACAACCTCAATTCAAGAAGTTGTAGACGCAATGGAAAGTGAATGGTGAACCAGATATAATGGGTATTTTCAGCGCGGCTTTAATGCCATTGAAAGATATGAAGATGCAGATATTTTGGACCGGTATGAAATGAACATGGCTGAGGGAAATATAACACCTGACGTTCTAGAACATTTATCTCAAAGAACTACACAGAACCATAGAGATGGTATATTTGGTGAAGAGTTTTAGAAAAAAGTTAGGGAGAGAGAAGGATGAGAACCTATTGTCATGACCTTGCAAACGAAAGTTTGCAAAATGTCATAAAAACTTACTTTGCAGACAATGAAATGAGAAGGGATGAATATTTAAGAAAACTCAAATGGACAGTACCAAATGAAATGTTAGTATTGAAAAACATGTTCCATGACAAAATAAAACCAACTACAGAAATAAATGACGCAAGACTGAAACGTTGGGTAAAAGCTTTCCCATTCACAAAAGATATTATTGGTTACATGGAAAGAAAACCAGAATGGCTACAAAAACATATATTTGGAAACGAGCTTATTCCATATGGACAAGCTCTGTTTGAAGAGCTTGAACCGGAAACTCAGGAAAGAGTCATGCAAACAATACGCGAAGACTCAAATACAAACTATGACAAACTCTTTCTAGGATATAGGTTACCTGAGATGGGCGACCAGAGCCCAAAGGCAAAAAGGACATGGGAAATTTACAACATACTAGGTGAACATGAGGCAAAGATGCAACAACTTGAAGCAGAGGGCAAGTTACCAAAAGCGACACCAAAGAAGAAGAGAAGAGTAGAACAAAGTGAAAGTAGTGAAGAAGTAACTTCATCTAGTGAAAGTAGTGGCAATGAAGGAAAAAGAAGAGTTAAAGATTCAGTTAAAAACCCAGTCAGGAAGAAAGTAAAGCTTGGTCCGAGTGGTTCTATTATGACATATAAATCCAACTATTCTATATTTTTACCCATATGAAATGTACGCCGCTCAGAATATAACGCCAACAGTTTTGGATGCCATGAACGGAAATGTTTCCGAATGGTATAACGAATGCGACAATGCCATTAGAAGGTCAGAAATAGTTCCTGGAACTTACGAATATACAACTGCTGTTTCTTATGGAAACGTAGGTGAGTTTGGAGAAGGTTCTTCTGTTATATACGAAAACGATAAAAACGGTTTGACAGAAAAGTGACAACTTTACGTGTCAAAAATATAAAAAGTGATATTTTATTCATCATTATCTTCTTCATAATTTATTTCATATTCTTCGTCTTACCAACAAAAGATGGGAATGTGAACAATTGCGGGCAATTTTTAGCCATTTTGGCTTGGAACTAGAGCCTGCGAGGTACATGGATAGTATCAGTACCTCACAGGCTCTAGTTCTCTATATGGCGCCGAGAAATTTTGGTGAAATGTGGTCGCATTTCACCAAAATTTTTTCGGCGCCATAGGATGAATTGGAGGTGAGAGATATTATTCATACAATACTACTCTCACCCTCCAATTCCCAGCCAAAATGGCTAAAAATTGCCGCAATGTGAACAATTGCGGGCAATTTTTAGCCATTTTGGCTTGGAACTAGAGCCTGCGAGTACATGGATAGTATCAGTACCTCACAGGCTCTAGTTCTCTATATGGCGCCGAGAAATTTTGGTGAAATGTGGTCGCATTTCACCAAAATTTTTTCGGCGCCATAGGATGAATTGGAGGGTGAGAAGATATTATTTCATACAATACTACTCTCACCCTCCAATTCCCAGCCAAAATGGCTAAAAATTGCCCGCAATGTGAACAATTGCGGGCAATTTTTAGCCATTTTGGCTTGGAACTAGAGCCTGCGAGGTACATGGATAGTATCAGTACCTCACAGGCTCTAGTTCTCTATATGGCGCCGAGAAATTTTGGTGAAATGTGGTCGCATTTCACCAAAATTTTTTCGGCGCCATAGGATGAATTGGAGGGTGAGAGATATTATTTCATACAATACTACTCTCACCCTCAATTTTAATTACTTAAACTCATTCTATTTTTTTGACATGTAAATGTCACTTTTACTGAGATCTGACACAATGTCAGATCTCTTTTTTTCGTATATAAGACTTCAACAACAGTAGATATTGCTTGCGACAGGTTTCACATTATTTCTATTGACAACTCATTCTTATACGTGGAACAAGACATTGAAATAAAACCTTCTGCCAAGTTGTCTGACAAGAAAGGTTGCAATGGAATTTTCTATGTCGGATACCAATATGCTCCAGAAGTTTTCATGGGATATAAGATATATTCTAACTCTGACTTAGTTCAAACAGTAACATGGGCAAACTATGAATGGTTCGCTTTGAGAAACTCAGTACAACCACAAGCTAGAGAACAAACAGACCAGTAGTTAGTATACAAGTCATGGGTACGGAGACACTGCGCGCCTCCTTACCCAATACTTGTGAATTTGACACTTTACAAAACCGTTAACGTATATTTTACAACACAAACGACAACACTAACTTAACCTTAAATATTTACAAAACCGCCAACCACTTCACCTCACTAATGTAAAAAATAAACGTTCTCACTTACAAAAGTATTGCAACTCCTCCCATTGCTGTGCTTCACATAACAGCTCATAATCTTCTGACTCACTTTCTTCTTCATATAGGTCAAAGTCACTGTCAAAATAAATGTTAGTAAGTTTTGACAAAGCTAATGAAACACGCTTACCGTTTGTATCATATGCTTGTATAAACTTTCCATTATGCTTGTAGTCATAAACGCTCAAACTAACTTTACCCTTTCTCCCTCGTATCTGATAGAATGTATTTTCACGAGGAACGAAGAACAAATTCTTGAACTCATGACCGTTGTAGTTTGTTATCTCAATAGTTTTCGTCATTTATATAAAAATAAAATAAAAAAATAAAATAAAAAATAATGATATCACCACCCTCACACGTATGAAAACATAGCACAAAAATAAATTTAGGTGAAGTGGTGAGATCTCACCTCTTTTTTCACCCTGTTGAATTCATTGCTTTATAACTCTCTTCCTTGGTTTCTTTTTAGTTGCTTTCTTCACGTCTGTCTCCAACTTGACTGTCTTTCTTCTTCGGCCGTAATGATACCAGTTACTTCCACCAGTCAATGGGTCAAATGGTCTTTCGTAAGGGTTTCCATACATTCCATAGGGACCATACGGAAGAACTACTGGTGGAGAAGAAACATTTTCTTTAGTTCCATCGAATCTATTTAAATGCATTGTTTCACCTTTCATCTGGTCATTAAAGTCTTTTGCGTGTTTTGCAAACTCATCGTCCTTTCCTAAAGCATTTTCTGACTCAGTCGCAACCAAATTAGATGCTTTATTTATGAGCCCTATTTTATTTAATCTTAACTTCTTTGCAACCCAGCCTCCAATCTTCCCTTTATTTGCATCTAATGTCTTCGAAACTCTTCCTCCACTCATTTTATTTACTGCGTCATAAGCTCCAAGTGCTTTTGCTCCAAATGCTAATGCTTTTGTTCCCATTGCGCCTAAAGCTGCCCAAGCTACCATTTACACCATATTAAAATCATCTCTCTTCAATATTATCTCATAAAAGTTCTCGTTACTGGAGAAAGTCAATGAAGCATAAACGTTCTCACGGGCTTCGCCCTCACCGCTTTGCGGTCTATCTAACTTCTTTCTTATCTCATCTATACGCTTCAAAATGTCTGAACAATTGCTAACATCTTCTACAACAGTTATTTCATCATGAATGACCTTCAAGAACAAGCTCATTTAATATGCTATTAAAATCATCTCAATAATGAGTCCGTCCTTTCCGTCTTTGGGTAGCACAACATCTTTCATTGAAGAAGGTTCGACAAGTCTTATGTTAAACTTACTGACAAAGTTTGTTATACTATAATGCTTCGGCGGCGAATACATGTAGTTTGAAAGACATAATATAGATTCTTCAGCAAATTCACTTATACTGGATTTTATAACAATGTTCTCACGAGACCAAATACCACCAATTGACAATCTTGTAAGCAATCCTGCTGAACCTTCTACTGTAAACGTCGATGGTAACATTCCACGAAGGTCATCTATTGACATCGTTGAGTCACTGTATTTAAATATTTTCTTAAAGCAATCGTCATTATCTAACCATGCAATAGCTTTGAAGTTTTCATTCGAATATACATCTGCTTCATTAAATGTAAATCCTGACTTCTTTGCAGAGATGACTTTAAAATCTATTGAGTTTGTTTCAAAATTATATGCTATGGTAACTTCTGAAGGTAATGGATGCTCTTCTGCTGTAAGTTGTTCTCTCACTACCGTTTGAAGCTTTGTGTTAAAAACTTTCATGTTATCTCCTGTATCTAAGTTCACATACACAGCAACAGGAAAACTATCTTGCTTCTTTGTTTCATCATTATATCTCAAAACATTAAAGTTCTTCAATAATATTGTTCTTCCTGCTGGAATACTTCGAACCTGTCTGATTTCAATAGCTTTCTCACCTCCTACATACTCTACCCAATGTCTTGGATATTCATAAGTATACTGACTTTCTTGAATTTTGGTTGGTTTCATCATAACATGTTCATAGTATATCTTTATACTCTTGTCAGTTAGACTCGGTGCTATGTTCTGAATATTTCTGACTTGCATTTTTAATGGAGATAAAATGAAGCATTTAATACATGATGTAGATGAAGACATGAATGAAACTACAGACAAACTTAACTCTTCTCTCATTCTTCCTTTCAGCAAAGATTATGAATTCTGTTCAAATGGTGTTTATTTCTATTGTGGAAAGATGGGGTCAGGAAAGACATTCAACCTCATTCGTCATATACTCATAACAGAGCGTTTAGGAAACGACTCTTACTATGACCAAATCATTATATCAGCAACTTCAGACTCTATGGACTCAACAGCGAAAACATTTATGTCAAAAGTTCAAGCCTCTGTCGTTAAAGTTCCAGACAGTGAACTCATTGAATTTCTTCAACGTTACATTCGACGTAAGAGGAAATATTATGCCATCGTTGAATTTATACAGTCAGGAATGCAAAAGACTTCAGAAGAGATGGAAAGAATTATTGACAAACACCACTTACGTCAATACTCAGGAGTTTACGATATGAAACGACTTACAAACTACATTCTGTCAAACTTTCAAATACCCCTTCAAAAAGTATCCTTCAAACACTCTGCTCGTTTGCGACGACTTCGCCGGAAAAGGTTTAGTGTCAAAGCCTGACTCACCATTAGCTAACATCATTACTAAAGTCAGACATTACCACTTAACTGTAGCAATACTTATGCAAACATGGAGGTTTTTAGCTTTAAACATAAAACGTCTCATAACTGACTTCGTTATCTTTCAAGGTTTCTCACGCTATGATATTGAACTCATTTGGAAACAGTCAGGTATAACATTACCTTTTGAAGAAATTTGGGAAGCATATAAGTCTCTCATCTCTCCTCGTTCATACCTTGAGATTCATATCATGACTAATACCATTAAAGTCAAAAATATTCCATGGGAACGACCAACATTGTTTTAAAGTTTAACCTTCAATTGACTGATGGTAAACAAATTCCATGCATCTCTGTCGCCATTTCTGTTAATATTTTTGCTGTCATTCATATCATCCACTTCTCCATCCGTTAGCTTTTGAGGATATGCGTTAGAATAGCTGTTCTTAAATGAAGGCTTTTCACCTTTGAGAGCATAAACTCTATAACTTTCTGCATACTTTATGTTTGAACCTCCTGAGCCATCATTGACATAAATTTTTATAGGCTTCCACCTTTGTTCATGTTCCTGCTTCTTCCCTTAGCTCTTTTGTTCAGTAGTTCTACATCTTTATACACAGCACCTGTCTCAGTGAATTCAACAATATTTTCATTCGTTAGCTTTACATTCAAACCCTTGTCGAGTATATTGTTCATTTCATACATATAAAAGGTTTTTATTCTATATGAAATGAGAAGCAAATCCATCTTAGCTGGTGCCGTTAATGTTCCAATTGAACCAACATCAAATGTTGACTCACGAACGACAAACAATATTGTCATAAAGAACTATAGTTCAGAGTGTTTGAAAGAACCAGAACCAGAGCTGAAATCCGTGAATTTAAACTCAGCTTCAAACGCTAACGCTACATCAGATGTTAAGTTAGAGTATCCACCACTGGACCAAATTCTTTCAAGAGAAGCCAACGACAACCCTTACACAAATGTTCAAACAAATCCTTCAGATAACGTAGACCATTACCTTCTTCAGTTATACCAAACAATTTTACTCAAAGACGATAAGAAGCTTTTGACAAATCTTATAAGCAAGAACCAAATAATTCTAACAAAGGAGGACCTTGAAAATGTTATCTCACGAATAACAGGAAAACAATGTGTCATTGACTATCTCGACCCTGAAATCGAATGCTGTGGTCAAACTCCACTATTCATGAAAATAGGTAACAATCCGCATCATTGAAACACCAGGAACTACAGGAGTTGAGTTTAAGTATAAATATTCGAACGAGTATACAAAACTATCTACTGACTATAAGCTTTGTTTGAAATATGTTTTAGTAAATTAAAGCAGTCAGGACCCTCGTCTTGGCGCTTTGCGCCGTCAGTCAAAAAATTTCAAGTTGGCAATTTGTAATATCTGTCCAAAACTTCTCAACAGTATCGAACTCATCTTCATAATGCAAACCTAATCTTATTGACTTGGTGCTGTTTTCACTAACACAATATTTTTCTGTTCTCTTGACTGACATAACTAACTCATTTGTTTCATCAAACAGCAACAACCAAGTTCATGACCTAATACATAACATTCATACTTTATATTTTTAGCTCTGAGTTCTCTTGTAAGCTGTTGCATTTAATATTTTCTAAAAAGTCAACTTCAACAGTCATTCGCACTGGTGCCTTCAGTTCTACAGGCTCGCCTTGAAAGTCAACTAGTCTGAATTGCATGTCTTTCAAATTATGAGGACTAATGCGAACCCATTTACCTAAATGAGTTGCTATGACAGGAACGTTTGGAATGAACATTGAATTTACTTCATAACAGAAAGATTTATACTCTACTGAACCTTTTACTATTAACTCCTGAAATGCCTGTGACATTAGCTATTTTAGACTCAATGTATAAACAATTGGCCATAACATACGTATGGAACAGATTTCATCTCAATCGTTTTGTCAACACTTTTCAAAGGTAGTTGCATATGGTATGCTCCTAAAAGAAGTTGAACTCTATGACTCATTCGTGTTATCTTGAACTCTTTCTTGCTACTGAACTTCAATGTTCCCTCAGAAGAGAGTTCGACATCTATGTTGTCAATAGTTTCTTCATTTATGAGAGTATCTATGACTCCAGCAATTTTATCTATTCTATACTCTGCTCTGTTAGGAAATGTTATAAAACTTCTTTTGTCATCTATTTCAATCTCTATGAAACCTGTTTCATCTGTTATGACAAAAGTTGCGATAGTATTGAAGTCAACAACTCTGAAAGCAAGTGCTTCATTCTGAAGACCTAAGTTTGTTTGAAGCTTTACTGTTCCATATTCGTTTGGGTCTGTACTTTGCAAATAGAACAACATTTTATTCTCATTAAAATATGACTATTGCTGCATATGCGTATGAAACAAATGAAGCAAGAAGAGCACATGAACTAGTAAACGAAAACTCAACTTTAACCATTGAAGGCAATGATTTAGTCATTGACGATGGAAAAACTAAAAAAGTCATTGATTTCGATACTTTTAACACTTATGACCCATTCATTACAATAAGTAAAGTTCCTATCATAAATGATGGAACGGTGCAATATATAAATTCTACAGTAGATGCCTCATTAGTGAAAGTATTAAATGTTCTCATTGAATTGTTAAAGAGCTTTCGATTTGACGACAACATTAAATGCCTAAAGAATTTAGTCATGAATGAGAAACAAATTCTCGGCGTTGCTGGTAGCAGTAATGATGTACACCTTATGACATTAGAATATTATAACGAACATAAAGATGAACTGAAAGGAGAGAAGGGTGACACTGGACCTCAAGGACCACAAGGAATACAAGGAATTCAAGGACCTCAAGGCGAAAACGGTTTGGATGGAAAGGATGGAAAGGATGGAAAAACTGCTAAATCATGGATATGGAACCTTATAAATACTGGTTTAACAGCTGCTTCATATGGAGTTCTTCAATACCAAATCGGAAAGATATGGGCAGTACTTGGTGAAGAAGTTTTAGATGACGTTAAAAATGCTTTGAACTTCATTTCAAATGGTTCGGATACTATTAAAACTTTATCTGGTTGGATGCAAGAAACAAGGAGTCAAATAGATACTGTAAGACGTATAGCAAACAATGCACGTACGGGATTGGATACTTTACGAGAAGCACAAAATACACTAAAGGAAGCAAATGATATTCTTGGCTCAGTATCAGACATGCATGAAGATTGGCTTAAAGGTATTGACAAATCTTTAAAAAATCACAGTCAGTCTATTGCTGACTACAAGAAAAGTATAGATTTTTTACATAGTGCTATGGACGTACATGATGGAAGCATAAGGAACTTACTTAATGCTAACAATAACTTACCAGGAACTATTAAAGCATTTATAAAGTCCTTTGTAAAACCTGGTGCTCTAACATTTAGGTCTTTGAGAGCAAGATCATTGAAGTCAAGAGATGCAGAAACTCCAACAGAACCTACAGAAGGAACTGAAACAACAGAAACTCCAGAAGAACCACCAAAACCAACAGCTAATGAAATATTGTTCGAATATTTTCCAAGGTACTCTGTTCTCATTGCATACATTCAAGAAATACTTAAGAAAGCAGACTTGACTTTAGGAGATGATGAAAGTTCTGTATATCTTTCGTTCCAGTTTCAAATAGCAGAACTTTTGAGACAGATATGCTTAATGTATGACAACATCTCTGATTTCACAAGATATGATGACGACCATGACCCCGAACACGGTGAAGAAGAAGTTTTACAAACATCCATTAAGACAGGAAAGGTTTTAACACAAAGTCTCATTATTGACACCAAAGATGGCGAAGTGGACGTTCTTCAAGAGCTGAAGAAAAATACTTCTGAAGGAGGTGGTGGTAGGCATGAACTTGAAATAAATGAGATAGAAGAGAAATTAGCCGAAAAAGCAGATAAAAACCATGTTCATTATATAAGTTCAGACGAACAGATTATAACGGACTACCATGGATATTTAACACAGGATGAAGAAGTGAAGACGAAAGATGTTAATGAAAGAAGATATAAATTCATTCGTGCTAAAGGTTATGACATACACTGTACTGTACAGTATGACACAGGTAAAGCACCAGAAACATTTGGTTATAACAATGAAATTTATGCTTCATACTTCTTTGTTAACGGTGTATTAGTTGAACCAAGATTTACATTGAGAGTTAAGGCAAAAATAACTTTTGAAGATGCTATTAAAAGTAAAGCAGAGAAAGAAGAACTTGACGCAACGAACAAAGTTTTGAAATCTCATAAACACAATATCTCCGATATAAATGAACTTCAGGCTACGTTAGATAAAAAAGCAGATAAAGAACATACACATAAATCCTTCACTACTGTGAGAGCAGACGACATAATATTGAACTATACCCTTGGTTCAAGTGCACCTTTAGAGAATCCAAGTACAAGCGTAAAAGATACACTAAACTCCTTAAATAACAAATGTATGAATATCGAAGGTCATGTCAGAAACTTTGAAACACATGAACTACCAGCAATGTTAGATAAAAAAGCAGATAAAGAACATACACATAACTCCTTCTCAACTGTTGCTATAGAAAGTATTGAAGGAACGGTTGGCAGAACTGGTGGGGATGCATTATATTATAAACCTCCTAACTTTCCACAAGGTTTAACATCGAATGAAAACATAACAACGAAGAAAGAAATTAGCTGTAAAAATGTTTATGTCATGGATGATGAAAATAATGTTAAATTCACTGCTCAAGATTTATATGATAAGAAAGCCGACAAGAACCATACACATAAGTCCTTCACTACTGTTAGAGCAGACGACATAATATTGAACTATACCCTTGGTTCAAGTGCACCTTTAGAGAATCCAAGTACAAGCGTAAAAGATACACTAAACAATTTAGATAACAGTTGCAGGAATATCGAAGATCATGCCAGAAACTTTGAAGCATATGAACTACCAACAATGTTAGATAAGAAAGCAGACAAAACAGAGCTTCAAACATTAAAGACTGAAATACTTCAAACATTATATCCTATAGGCTCTATTTATACATCAATGAATTCAACAAATCCGGCTGATGTATTCGGTTTTGGTACATGGAAGCAGATTGTAGACAAATTCTTATACTGTGCTAGATATTCAAAGCAAACAGGAGGTTCGAAGAAAATTAAAGAAGCAAACCTTCCACCGCACACTCATACAGGAACTACAAACACAACAGGTAGTCATTCACATTCAATAACAAAAAGAGGTTATACAAATCTTGCAGCAGGTTCGGATAGACAGGGAATGCATAGATATGATATTTCAAGTGACCCAGTAGATTCAAGCGCAGGTATTTTCTGTGGAACCGCAGGAAATCATTCACACACTTTCACAACAAATCCAACAGGCTTGGGTGCAGATTATATGCCACCATTTGTGACTATATTCGCATGGTACCGCGTTCAATGAACGCGCTTGAGCCTAGAATAAAATCTTTAACTTTACATAAATGAGCTTGAAAGAAGTATTCGAACAACATCCATGGAGGTCATTTAAGAAGTTCAATGAAGCTGCAAAGAGTTGGGGATTTACTAACAGAGCTGAAGTGAAAAGGTTCTTTGACAAAAATGTTGTACATCAAACAAAAATAAACCCTTACGACTACTTTTTACCAATTTACTCCAACACTCCTGACGCATACCAATTTGACACTCTCATTCAAAGCAGAAAAGGAGGACATAAACCATTCCTCATCTTCATTAATGTTAACACTCGCAAAGCATATGCATATCCAATGAGGAATAAAGGAACTCGTGAAGTGTTAAGAGTTTTACAAAAGTTTGTAGCAGAACATAGCCCAAGTACTTTAACATCAGACCAAGACAGTGCATACCTCAGCAATGAAATCACAGATTTTCTCATTAAGCATAACATAACTCACTACACTACTGAAGACCATAACCATAACATACTCGGCATCATAAACCGCTTCATAAGAACGCTCAGAGATTTAAATCAAGAGCGAGACTTTACCGAAGAAACAATGAAACATTTTCTCGAAGTATATAATTCCTCAACACATTCTACAACAGGACATACACCAAATTCAATGACACAACAACAAGAAGAAAAGTATATACAAAAGAAACGAAGCCAAACACAAAATATCAGAAATTCAACACAATTTACCCTCATTCCTGGTACAAAAGTTCGTGTAGTTCTTGACGACAAACCGTTGACAAAGAAACGTTTAAGGTTAAGTAGAAACTATTATATCGTAGACTCTACGCAAGGTAATGGATATCTTATAAAAGCTGCTGACGACTCTATTGCGTTTTATCCTCGACATAAATTAGTCGAAAGTAGTAATGGCAAACTTGCTGAAACCATTGACGAAGCAAAGCGAGGAGTGGTTATTGAAATACTTGGCTATAACATAAACGATGACACTTATAAAGTAAGATATGAAGGAGGTGTTGAAGATGTTATACCATCTAAGAACTTGAGAGAGTCAAAGCCAACACATCTGGGACCATTAGAGCGGGAGTACTGGAAAGACAAAAATATGCCAGAAAGAATAAGAAAATTCTTCTAAACTTTTTCATTAGATGTAAATCAGACATGAATGAGAACAGTCATGATATCATTAATGGTACCATTTATTTTTGTCATAAATGACCAAAAAATAATGTTTATGTTAGCATGTTAGATCTAACACGTTTTCTAACCACTTTTCTAACATGGTCTAAAACTCTCGAAAATCATGAATTTTTGACATTTCCTTATGAAAGAAAAATAACGCTAATTTTTTTTCTAAGAAAATTTTTATCTTGTATGTAAAGATATGATTTCAACAATCAGCACAACAACAATTCAAACAACTTCACCAAACTCTTTAGTTATGAATCCTACGTCAATGTTAGTAGAGATGAAAAGCTTCATTCCTTCTTCATATACTTTTGAGACAGAAATACAAAGAATTAAGCAAGAACTTTTAACAAGTAATTTAGACTGTAGTGCGAAAGATGAAACAAATGAACAGTATCTTTATGACATGCAGGACATTATTGACCATTTACCCAAATTGCCTGAAATCCAACAACAAAAGCTCACTATTCATGAATTCGATGAAATAGAAGTGAAAACAACTGACTCAGTAGAAATAAAGAAGTTCATACGTAAAGTAAACTATGAGTTTCTAGGATATCATTGCAACCATAAAGTTATGGACAAAGATTGCGACATGGTATATAAGAACATCTCTGACATATATAAATCGGAGGAGTTTAAGACATACGACAACTTTGTTTCGTTAGTTGCTGAATGTGTATGGCAGATAAGAGATAAAGATAAAAGATGTAAAATATGGAATGAACAAATCAGACCTACATATTCTGAGTTAAAGAAAACCATTGACGCCTTAGTTGTTTTAGCAGGTAAGGTTTCAGAATATAACGCAAAAATGAATCCGCAATGTTCAAAATGTAAAGCAGCAATGAGGAAATATAACTATTCAGTAAAAGAGATAGAACGTATGAGAAACGACTATGCTGACTTAAAGAAAGAAGTAGAGAAACCAGCAGAAGATAAAATGTACATGTTAGCATTTCTGAATAAAAACTATCCAACTGCTGACGATTTCCTATTATCTGATGTCAAGAAGAAGTATAAAGAAACTTTCGGCATTGTTAAAATTTTTGATGTACTAAAAGAAGAAATAGAAGCTACAAAACTGTTTAAAGTCATGAACCATCGCAACATATACCATGTAAAACGCTTGTAAATAGTTATGTTAGAAAAGTGGTTAGAAAACGTGTTAGATCTAACATGCTAACATAAACTTTATTTTATTTATTTTTTTTATCTCATATGTAAAGACAGTAATGACAAACATTGAGTTTGAAACAGTTAGAAAGATAGACAATGACACCAAAGTGGTTAGAATTGGTGATTTAAACGTAAGATACTCAAAGAAATACAACAAATATTCTTTGTCAGACATTATAACACCATCTGAAAAGAAAACAAACCACTGGGTTAGAAATGCTTCAACTCAGAAAATTTTGACAAGAAATCCTGAGCTTATGATATCAGTAAGATTCTATGGAACTACAGCATATCTCATCGACAAAAGTCTTATACCAATAGTTTTGTTATGGTTAGACCCAGTGGTTTGTTTTCTTTTCAGATGGTGTTATAATGTCTGACAAAGAATATTTGTTGTATTTCTTTGAGTATCTTACGTTTAAATCACCAATTCTAACCACTTTGGTGTCATTGTCTATCTTTCTAACTGTTTCAAACTCAATGTTTGTCATTACTGTCTTTACATATGAGATAAAAAAAATAAATAAAAATAAAGTTTATGTTAGCATGTTAGATCTAACACGTTTTCTAACCACTTTTCTAACATAACTATTTACAAGCGTTTTACATGGTATATGTTGCGATGGTTCATGACTTTAAACAGTTTTGTAGCTTCTATTTCTTCTTTTAGTACATCAAAAATTTTAACAATGCCGAAAGTTTCTTTATACTTCTTCTTGACATCAGATAATAGGAAATCGTCAGCAGTTGGATAGTTTTTATTCAGAAATGCTAACATGTACATTTTATCTTCTGCTGGTTTCTCTACTTCTTTCTTTAAGTCAGCATAGTCGTTTCTCATACGTTCTATCTCTTTTACTGAATAGTTATATTTCCTCATTGCTGCTTTACATTTTGAACATTGCGGATTCATTTTTGCGTTATATTCTGAAACCTTACCTGCTAAAACAACTAAGGCGTCAATGGTTTTCTTTAACTCAGAATATGTAGGTCTGATTTGTTCATTCCATATTTTACATCTTTTATCTTTATCTCTTATCTGCCATACACATTCAGCAACTAACGAAACAAAGTTGTCGTATGTCTTAAACTCCTCCGATTTATATATGTCAGAGATGTTCTTATATACCATGTCGCAATCTTTGTCCATAACTTTATGGTTGCAATGATATCCTAGAAACTCATAGTTTACTTTACGTATGAACTTCTTTATTTCTACTGAGTCAGTTGTTTTCACTTCTATTTCATCGAATTCATGAATAGTGAGCTTTTGTTGTTGGATTTCAGGCAATTTGGGTAAATGGTCAATAATGTCCTGCATGTCATAAAGATACTGTTCATTTGTTTCATCTTTCGCACTACAGTCTAAATTACTTGTTAAAAGTTCTTGCTTAATTCTTTGTATTTCTGTCTCAAAAGTATATGAAGAAGGAATGAAGCTTTTCATCTCTACTAACATTGACGTAGGATTCATAACTAAAGAGTTTGGTGAAGTTGTTTGAATTGTTGTTGTGCTGATTGTTGAAATCATATCTTTACATACAAGATAAAAATTTTCTTAGAAAAAAAATTAGCGTTATTTTTCTTTCATAAGGAAATGTCAAAAATTCATGATTTTCGAGAGTTTTAGACCATGTTAGAAAAGTGGTTAGAAAACGTGTTAGATCTAACATGCTAACATAAACATTATTTTTTGGTCATTTATGACAAAAATAAATGGTACCATTAATGATATCATGACTGTTCTCATTCATGTCTGATTTACATCTAATGAAAAAGTTTAGAAGAATTTTCTTATTCTTTCTGGCATATTTTTGTCTTTCCAGTACTCCCGCTCTAATGGTCCCAGATGTGTTGGCTTTGACTCTCTCAAGTTCTTAGATGGTATAACATCTTCAACACCTCCTTCATATCTTACTTTATAAGTGTCATCGTTTATGTTATAGCCAAGTATTTCAATAACCACTCCTCGCTTTGCTTCGTCAATGGTTTCAGCAAGTTTGCCATTACTACTTTCGACTAATTTATGTCGAGGATAAAACGCAATAGAGTCGTCAGCAGCTTTTATAAGATATCCATTACCTTGCGTAGAGTCTACGATATAATAGTTTCTACTTAACCTTAAACGTTTCTTTGTCAACGGTTTGTCGTCAAGAACTACACGAACTTTTGTACCAGGAATGAGGGTAAATTGTGTTGAATTTCTGATATTTTGTGTTTGGCTTCGTTTCTTTTGTATATACTTTTCTTCTTGTTGTTGTGTCATTGAATTTGGTGTATGTCCTGTTGTAGAATGTGTTGAGGAATTATATACTTCGAGAAAATGTTTCATTGTTTCTTCGGTAAAGTCTCGCTCTTGATTTAAATCTCTGAGCGTTCTTATGAAGCGGTTTATGATGCCGAGTATGTTATGGTTATGGTCTTCAGTAGTGTAGTGAGTTATGTTATGCTTAATGAGAAAATCTGTGATTTCATTGCTGAGGTATGCACTGTCTTGGTCTGATGTTAAAGTACTTGGGCTATGTTCTGCTACAAACTTTTGTAAAACTCTTAACACTTCACGAGTTCCTTTATTCCTCATTGGATATGCATATGCTTTGCGAGTGTTAACATTAATGAAGATGAGGAATGGTTTATGTCCTCCTTTTCTGCTTTGAATGAGAGTGTCAAATTGGTATGCGTCAGGAGTGTTGGAGTAAATTGGTAAAAAGTAGTCGTAAGGGTTTATTTTTGTTTGATGTACAACATTTTTGTCAAAGAACCTTTTCACTTCAGCTCTGTTAGTAAATCCCCAACTCTTTGCAGCTTCATTGAACTTCTTAAATGACCTCCATGGATGTTGTTCGAATACTTCTTTCAAGCTCATTTATGTAAAGTTAAAGATTTTATTCTAGGCTCAAGCGCGTTCATTGAACGCGGTACCATGCGAATATAGTCACAAATGGTGGCATATAATCTGCACCCAAGCCTGTTGGATTTGTTGTGAAAGTGTGTGAATGATTTCCTGCGGTTCCACAGAAAATACCTGCGCTTGAATCTACTGGGTCACTTGAAATATCATATCTATGCATTCCCTGTCTATCCGAACCTGCTGCAAGATTTGTATAACCTCTTTTTGTTATTGAATGTGAATGACTACCTGTTGTGTTTGTAGTTCCTGTATGAGTGTGCGGTGAAGTTTGCTTCTTTAATTTTCTTCGAACCTCCTGTTTGCTTTGAATATCTAGCACAGTATAAGAATTTGTCTACAATCTGCTTCCATGTACCAAAACCGAATACATCAGCCGGATTTGTTGAATTCATTGATGTATAAATAGAGC